TTTTACAGTCTATAAATCAAGCCACTGCAGCTTGCACGTTGAGTATCATACGTCAGAAGGAGTGCTAAACACTTTCCAAGGATTATCGCACGCAATTCTCAAGACCACCCCGGGAAGTGCTCCAATTTTACGAATGACAAAATGAGTTTCAGAGAGGTTAGGTCACTTGCTTAACATCACATAACGTTAATGACTGACAGAGACCGCGTTCAACCCAGGCAGTGTCTCCAGGGCTGGTTCTCCTAATACAGTGCTCTACTGCTCCCCTGAAAAATAGGGGTGCCACTTCCTTCCAGGGGTCTCCAAACATGCTCCAACGTGCTCATGGACACACTGAACCCCAAATGGATGAGAATTTATACACAATTCTTACATCTGAAACAGCAAAGAAAACATCACATACTAAAGACCTCCAAATTTTAATATATGACTGACTCAAGCCTCGATCTTTTTTCCTTTCTGTTTTTTTGTTTTAGACCATAATCTCCACTGTGGAGAATCAAACAGCTTCACTGCGATCAAAACATGCCATCTCCCCACCCCATCCTTCCATAAACAGCAGCGACCGTGGCAGTGGCCACAGAGAGATCAGAGCTGGGCTCAAGACTTCCTCGGGCTTTCGCTTTACCTGCTATAGACGAGGCAGTCTTGGTTATTGATCATTTTATCGGATTTGTACCGCCGGAAGTCTTCCCAAGCATCCTTGATGGCCGTGACCGCCAGGATGACACAGATGGGTATCACGCTCACCGCGGGCTGGAAAGCATTGACCACGGGCACAAAATTCAGAATCGCAATGCCCACAAAATAGAGATTGGCAAACCGGTGTAGCTGCTCGAAGATGTTCTTGGGTATAAAGGACAACACAGTGTACTTGCTGGTCTTAATTTGATTCCCACGATAATGTCTGTTGGGATTCTCTTTGTGGGACCATCCTTCAAAGGGCAGGTTGGAGACCACCACTCGTTTCTTGTCTTCTTTCTTTTTCCGCCTTCTCTTCCCTTCCTTTCTCATCTCTGCTCAGTCCGGTCTCTTTAACTCTCATAGCAGGGCACTTGAGATCCCCGTGAAAGAGGTTCTTCCTGGATCAGTCCCATTGTTCAGCTGCCAGCGAGTGATGTTCCTGACATCTTTTGCTTGCCCTCTTTGCGGAAGATTTCTCTCTCCTTTCAAAACGAAAACTGAAAATAAAAAGCCGGTGTACAAACACTAGGGGAGGAATATGACAAGGAAAGAGCTTGCAGAGAACAGGTGTGTACCCACCGGGTCACTTCCTCCTACTTGTTGAGACTCCACCTGTTGGAATGCAGACGTCACACACAGGTAGCTTCCTTTTCCACCCCAGGCAGCCAAGAACAGGTGTGCCAGCTCTGGGTCCTAAAACCTACCTGGTTAAGTTCTAAAAGCAAGAATGTTTAGCCAAGGGCCACAGATGCTTTCAAAACAGCATGCATTTTCTTTTCTGGGAGACACTGCCTGTTACTCTCCAAAGAACTGCTCTTGAACTTGGTCTCCTGAGATGATCCAATCAATTCTAGAGTTTCACTCTGGAGCTTTCAACCCTACTCTTAATAATATAACACCGTTGGGTTTAATAATAGGAATGTTTACACAAGTTAAATTAAGGTTTCTAAGTCTCAGCACCATTGACATTTTGGTCTGACTCATAATTCTTTGCTGCGAGAAGTTGTCTTGTATATTGTAAGATGTTTAGCATCGTCCTTGACCTTTACCCATCAGATGCCAGTAGCACCCTCCTTCCCAGTATGGCAACCAAAAATATTTCCAGACATTGTCAAAAGCTCCTTGCAGGGCAAAACTGCCCTGGTTGACAATCATTGAATTCAACGAACTTAAGGAACTATAATGTGAGAAGAGAGACTAATTTTTGGAAAATGCTGCTAAGTTTGCATAACCTATTTGCCACAGAGGAAATGACTTCCCTTACCTCTCATATATCTGGATGTTGGAGCAGTTTATCTCTCTGTCAAAGCAGTGTTTCTTGAAGTCTTCCACACCATCCTTAACCATGATGATGAACAGGACAATGGCCAGTGGTAGCATGGTGATCTCCCTGTGGAAGACTTCCATGGAGGGCACCCAGTTCAGAATCACCAGGAACAGGAAGTAGAGGTTAGCCCACCTGAAAGGTACGAGGGAGGTATAACTGAAAGCCACAAAGAAAAATACTCTCCACGTTTTTCTTCCTAACTATTGGCCCTTCCCAATTAAAATGACATTCTCTTTCAGTGTCACCTTGAACATTATAGTAAGAGCTTTGAAGCCAAATCCATCTAGATTCAAATTTGGTTTCTATTGTTTACTTGTTGTGTGACTTTCCTGAACCTGTTTTGTCTTGCATAATATGGGGCTAGTACTACCTACTTTAAAGGACTTCTATAAATATTACATGGGCTATATTTGCTACACATACAATGTAGAGGGTTCTGGAGTACAGTAGTTGCTTAATAAATGGTGGCTTACAATAGTCACAAAATTTAGAATAATGTCTAGGTATATATTTTGCTTTATAATTAAATGATGATTCTGCTTATAGTATCTCAAAAGAGTGGCTTGCATTTTTAAGTTTTCCAAGTGCACCTTGTTCCCTCTTGCCCCAGTGCCTTTGCACAGGAAGGACTTTCTGCAAGAATGTTCTTCTGGCTCACTTCTCTGACTTCTCCCTGCCTCTTTTCACCTAGTTAATGCATTCTCTTCTTTCAGGTTACACTTCCTTTATCACTTCCTCCTGGAAGTCTTCCTTGACTTTCTTAACTAGGCCAGATTTCCCTTACTCACTCCAATAGCCCCGTATATCTCTTCTTGGAAGTATCTATCAGAATTATAGTTTGCACCAATTTATATAATTCCTAAAATTGGGAAGACATCTGTATCTTCCACTAGCCAATATAGTCAGGGCAATACCTTTTTTTCTCTAACACACAATACATAACCTAACACAGTAGAATCTGATAGATATTTATTGAAGGAATGAATGAATGAATGAATGACCAAGCTTCTCAAAGAACATGCTTTTGGATATTAAAGGAAAGGTGGCCAAGAGGGCATCATCCCTCAGTTCGTCTGAGTGGCAAACACGTGGTTAAAGTGCATATTGCTCAGGCAAGGGGCTGTGTTACCTGTTAAATTGCTCCAAGAGATTGTGGGGCAGGAAGGTGAAGAGGCTGTACTTGGCCGTGCAGATTCTGTTGCCGGGGTATCTCCTGGACGCCTTCGCCCAGTCCTGGTGGAAAGCATTGTTGTTGGGGAACACGACCCGCTGCTGCGTCACGCTGTAGCTTTGCCTCCCCTTCTCCGGGGACAGCAGTGGTGTGGCTTCTGATGGAGACTGGGGCAGGGCATCTCTGACTCGCCACTGCCACCGGTGCCAGGACGAGTCCACTGAGAGGGCCATTTCTGGCAGCAGCTATGGTCCGAAAAAGGATGCGTGAAGTCACTGGGGTCAGGAGGAATCTGCGATATATCAACACAGGGAGAAGCTGTGGTCAGGAGAAACAGGTGGCATACTGGCCCCCCAACTTGTC